GGGAGAGAGGAGCCAGACAGCTTTCCAGTCTGTCCAGGTCTGGCAGCCAGGCAGCTCAGTGCCAGGAAAGACCTCCCCTCGGTCCCGAGCCCGGGGTTTCGCTCCTACTCGCCTACCACCTCCACCCCACCGGCCTCCGGCCTGGGACCTTCCATAAGCACATTTTGCTGCGGCCGCACGGCCAAGCTGAGCCTGAGCGGGTGGTGAAAGGCGCAGGACAGACAGACAGACGAGAGTGAAGCTGGGTCCAGGTGGGACGCTGCTCCCGCCTGGAGAGGCTCACAAGCCGTGTCTTTTTTTTTTTTTTTTTTCCCCCCCTTTGGATTTTATTTTACTTAAAAGATCGGTGTAGGAGGGTTAAAGCTGGCTTGTATAACATTGTTTTTGGCAACCACATCACATAGTATCTCATTATTACTCATGTCAGATTGTTCTCATTCTCTGGGAAATTGTATTGGATAAATGCTTTGAATTAAACACCGTGTGATTGCTGCATGGGGCAGATCTATAGCTACAAACCAAAGTTGTTCTAAGGCAGTTAATAACTGCCTCCCAGTTCTGGCATGCCTGTGTTGTTTTTCTTTCTTTTTTAGTGTGTTTTTAAGTGTATCTCTATACAAGGTTAATCATATTTCTCATTCCATGGTATACATATGACAAATGGATTTAAAGGAACAATTTTGAAGCAATATTCTTTGTACGTTTATTCCATCTATATTCACTTGTTCCTACCTTCTTTTCCAAAATGAATCATCTGGACACAATTTTCTGATTTTAGCAAGCCGTGTCTTTATTTCACAGCCGCTGCCACGCGGCACGGGGGGGCGGGCCAGATGGCACAGCGTTCTCTGGGTCTCACCCACTGCACCACCTGACCCAGCTGTTTCCCGCGGCCTCTCGCTCAGGCGGTGGGGCCACGGGTTCGGACCACAGGGTCACGCTCACAACCACAGCTGGCGGCCATCACGGTGCTGGGAGGCTCCGCCCTCCACGCTGGGCCTCGCACGTGGCCGGGAGGACTGTGCCCTCATCAGCCCGAGGCCTGAATCTGTCCCAATGCTGTGGCCGTGCCCCTCACACACACCAAGACATTTGCAGTCACAGCTGGAGGATATGGTCACTCTTAGCTCAGTGATGTTGGTATTTTTTGCTTCTATAGCTGAGTAGGACCTTACCCGGTGTGGCTTGTTTTTCCCCTCAATAATTTGGAAGGTCTGATTTTAGCCTGGCTGGTGTGGGCCAGTAGATGAGCATCAACCCATGCACCAAAAGGTCGCCGGTTCGATTACCGGACAGGGCACATGCCCAGATCCAGGTTCCATCCCCGGTGGGAGCCTGCAGGAGGCAGCCAATTGTTTTTCTCTCTCTCCCTTCAGTAAGATTTGGACTTTAACCCCGTGGAAAACTTTTAGGTCATAACTTCATGTAATACCTTTCACCCTTTAGAGTCGGCAAACTGCGGCTCTTGAGCCATAGGCTGCTCTTTGGCCCCTTGAGTGTGGCTCTTCCACAAAATACCACGGCCTGGGCGAGTCTATGTTGAAGAAGTGGTGTTGGAAGTTTAAAAAAAAATGGCTCTCAGAAGAAACTTCAATCGTCCTGTTGATATGGCTCTGATGACTAATGAGTTTGCCGACGAATGCTTTAAACAATGTCATCTGTTAATGCCCTATCATGAGTTATAAGCTTGGCTCATTCCTCTGTACTTTTTTTTTTCTTTTTTAAATATATTTTATTGATTTTTTACAGAGAGGAAGGGAGAGGGATAGAGAGCTAGAAGCGTTGATGAGAGAGAAACATCGACCAGCTGCCTCTTGCACACCCCCTATTGAGAATATGCCCGCAACCAATGTACATGCCCTTGACCGGAATCGAACCCGGGACCTTTCAGTCCACAGACCGACGCTCTACCACTGAGCCACACCGGCTTCGGCCCTCCTCTGTTCTTCTTTTCCCACCCCACCCAATATCATCAACTTTGTGTCTAAATGTTTACTCCGAACAAACTTACGCCATTACTTGAATTTTCATGTTCAAATGATACCATTTATTCATATCTAAAAAGATGAGGAAACCCGCTTTTCTCCTTTCCTTTCTCTTTTAAAAAACATATTTTTATTGACTTTAGAAAGGAGAGGGAAGGAGAAACATCCATGATGAGAATCAGATCGGCTGTCTCCTGCAAGTCCCCCACTGGGGATCGAGTCTGCCACCTGGGCCTGTGCCCTTGACTGGAATTGAACCCGGGCCCCTTCAGTCTGCAGGCCGACGCTCTATCCACTGGGCCACACCAGCCAGGGCATCTTTCCTTTTTTTTCTTTCTTGGAGCTCAATTTATTTCCCCTCAGAATTTAGGAGCTTCCCCTTTAATTAACCCCCAAGCCTTCTTGGCAAGAAATGAACAAAGTCACATCAGAATCTCATTTCAACCTGGAGCAGGAAGTTGCAGCTTAGAGCACCAGGGAGGAAAGGCAGGGATGATGGGGAGGGCCAGCCGCCTCTGTTGACAGGAGAGGGGGGGGGGGCGGGCGGGGCCAGTCTCTCACCAGAGGATCCTGAGTCAGGAAGTGAGAGCCGAACACACCTTCCATCAGTGAGAACCCACAGGGCAGCGGCCTCACGCTTTAGAAGCAGAGAGAGACACATCAGAGCCCTGGCCGCTGTCACTGTTGGCAGCCAGAGCGTAGCTCCCTCCTTTTCCACCTGAGTGCCTCCTCCCCCACATCACAGCTCCAGCCACAGCTCCCACCAGGACCAGGCCCCCAGCGATGCCCAGGATGATGAAGGTGCGAGGAGGCGGCTCCCATCTCACGGTCAGGGGCTCGGGCAGCCCCTAGTGCAGCACATGGCACGTGTATCTGTACTCCTCTCCAGGGGGCACCCCCACGGCCGCCCACTTCTGGAAGGTCCCGTCCCCCGCAGGCCTGGTCTCCACCAGCTCTATGTCCTGGGTCTGGTCCTCCCCGTCATGCAGCCAGGTCAGGCTGATGTCCGCAGGGTAGAAGCCCAGCGCCCAGCACCTCAGGGTGACCTCACTGGCAGAGACGGGGTGGTGGCTCACGTGTGCCTTTGGAGGGTCTGCGTGCTGCAGGGTCTCCTTCCCCTTGTCCAAGTACATGCGCGAGTCCACACACACCTCCTCCAGGTAGCTCCCGTCATGCTCTGCCAAACCCATCGCCTCCCACTTGCGCTTTGTGATCTGAGCCACTGTGTGGGCCCCGGTCCAGGAGGTCAGGTCCTTGTCCAGGGCGATGTAGTCGGTGCCATCGTAGGCAAATTGCATGTACCCGCGGAGCAGGCGCCCGTCCGGTCCCACCTCGCAGCCATACATCTCCTGGAAGGTGTGAGATCCTTCCTCGCTCTGGTTGTAGGTACAGGACACCCTGTGGGTGCTGTCGAGGACCATCCAGGTGGAGTGAGGTGTTTGCCTGAGCGAGGCCCTGGGCCTTGGGACAGGAAGCAGCTGGAAGGCCTGCTAGGGGCAAGAGCTTTGCCATCTGCGCGGGATGCGGAGCAGCCGCAGGGACCTTGTTCCCTTTCCTTTCTTTTAAAATATATTTTTATTAATCTCAGAGAGGAAGGGAGAGAAACATCGATGATGAGAATCACCGATTGGCTGCCTCCTGCAGGCCCACATTGGGGATCCAGCCCACAAACTGGGCAGGTGCCCCGATGGGGAATCGGGAATCAAACCATGACCTCCTGGTTCGTACCACTGAGCCATGCCAGCTGGGCAGCAGTGAGCGCATTCAGGCCCCACTGGTTTTTAGAGTGGAACAGAGAGGGAAAGACAAACCATGTGAGAGGAACACAGATTACATTGATTGGTTGACTCCTGTACGCAGCCTGACCAGGGGGAAGCCTGAAACTGAAATAAATACACGCTCTTGCCGGAAAGGAACCCGGGACCTTTCAGTCCGATCTATCCACTGAGCCAAGCTGGCTAGGGCGACTCTTACATTTTTAAGGGGAATTGTGCTACGGCCAGGTCACGCTGTGTCTGCAGGCACCCTTGGGAATGCAAGGGGGTGGGCTCCCAGCAGTTCCTGGCGGGGAGGTCTCCATCCACTGTGATTACACTGGCGAACCGGCCACCAGACGGCCCGGGTACAAACTCATAAGAGATGTTAAACCTCTCCTCCGAGAACGGTGGTCTCCCTGCGGTTGTTGCTCAGCAGCCGGGAGCTGTCCGGGCCCAGGGTAGGGCTGCAGGCGGAACCCCCTTCGGCACCGGCGAGCCTGCACCCCTCAAGGCGCTTTCCGCCTGGGTCCCTGTCCAACAGCACGGCCACGCGGCTTCCCTCAGTCACAGCTCATCGCTGGGGTTTTGTCAAAAGAATTTATTGCCGAAACCAGTCGGCCTGAGGGCTGAAAGGTCCCAGGTTTGATTCTGGTCAAGGGCATGTACCTTGGTTGCAGGCACATCCCCAGTAGGAGGTGTGCAGGAGGCAGCTGATCGATGTTTCTCTCTCTCCTTTCCTCTCTGTAAAGAATCAATAAAATATATATAAAAAAAGAATTTATGAACAGCCTCACCGGAATAGAATCCACGTTCCCACCAAACCCACCGAGTTTCTCCACTTGCACTCATGCCCCCGCCTGCGGGCTTGGGCTGTTCTACGCCTTCAGCTCGCCTCCCTCCCAGGGCTCCTAACGGGCATGTCCACCTTGAATTCTAACGGTCACCTCACAGGGAAACTCAGAGCCGATCCACCCCGGTCCCGCCTGCGGTCACCCCTCGCCTCCCCGTGGCCTGCGGGCAGCTCCACCTGGGCCACAGCGCTGGGCTTTTGTCTCCCAAGTGAGTCTGGACTGAGCGGGCGGGGCCGCGGCAGGGTGGGGGCCCCCAGCGCCCCGAGTCCCCCGGCCTCCACACTGCTCCCCTCGGCCTGAACCCCCGGGGGGGGGGGGGTCCCCGGTGTCACAAGAGAAGGCGGGCGCCCACTGGTTCGCCCTCCCCGGGGTGGGGTGGGGTGGGGTGGGGTGCGGCCGGGCCGCCCTCAGGCCAGGCCGGCGCGCTCCAGGTCCCGCGGGAGCACGCGGCCCCGCCGGCGGGCCTTGTCCAGCCGCCGCTCGGCGCGGGCCGCCCGCCTCCGGCGCAGATGCCGGCGGCGCAGCTCCTGCCGCCGCTGCATCGTCCCCACCACGTGCGCCGCGCGCCGCTCCCAGCGCCGCCGCCGCTGCGCCCGCCGCCGCTCCTTGCGCTGCAGCGCGGCCCGCAGCAGCCGCTCGTCGTCGCGGACGCGCACGCCCTCGGCGCGGTGCAGGGCGGAGGCCCAGCGCGCCCGGTCCTCCTGCGCCCGCGCCGCCGCCTCGTCCCGCGCCCGCAGCGCCGCCAGCCGCGCCCGCCGCGCCGCCAGCCGCTCCAGCAGCTGCCGGTAGTTCCTGCCGGTGAGCGGCGCCGGGCCCCGCTCCCGCCGCCGCCGCCGGGCCGGGCCGCCCGCCGCCGCCGCCTCCTCCGCCGCCGCCTCCACCTGCGGGGAGGGCCGGTCACCGCCGCTCCCCCGCAGCCCGGGACCCGCCGCCGCAGCCCCGGCACCGCCCGGCCGGCCTCACCGCCTCACCTTGTTGAACAGCAGCGCCGCCGGCGCCACCTCCGGGCCCGGTGCCTCGGGGGCCGGCGCCGCAGCCTCCGCCGCAGCCTCCGCGGGCCCCGCGGCCTGGGCCGCCTTCTCCCGGGCCCTCAGCTCCCTCCGCTTCCGCTTCCTCCGGTCCCGCTCCAGCCGCCGCCGCCGCCTTTTCTCCAGCGCCGCGGGGGACAGCTCCTGGGCGCCGCCCTGCAGGGCAAGCCGGTCACTGCCCGCCACTCCCGCCCCGCGGGGGCTCAGGCAGGGGCTCGGGAGGACCCCCCCCACCCCGCGCAGGACAAGGGGACCCTCAGTCAGACCACAGCTTCCAGGCCCCAGGCAATGACCAGGGAGCTTTACAGACTCAGTTTCCCAAATCCCCCCGAGACCCGCCTCGCAGATGCCGGCCACCCCTGTGCAGCCCACCCCTGTGCAGTCACCCCAGTACAGCCCACCCCTGTGCAGTCACCCCTGTGCAGTCACCCCAGTTCAGCCCACCCCTGTGCAGACCCGGGGGCCAAGGCCACCCCGGCACCGGTGTCCGCTCAGACCCCAGCACTGCTCTGTGACAAGCCCAACAGCCTTCACCCCCCCACGCCCCTCCCCGCCGACCCCCTGGCCAACACTCGGACCCAGACCCCTGGCAGGAAGGCAGGGCCTGGAGCGGACTCACCTCTCGGAAGCGGCTCTGGGCTTGCCCCAGGGCAGTGCGGAAAGTGGGCGGCTGTCCCCACCCAGCGAGAGGCCTGGGACGGGAGCGGGGGGTGTCCCCAGCACAAGGGCAGCGGTGGCCCAGTCAGTAGGGCCAGCAGTGCCATTCAGAGCCGCGGAGGCTGTTCAGGTCCCCTCAGCCCACGCCGCACCGACACCCCACGCCCGCAGCGCCACCGGCCTGAGTTCAGCGAGGGCGGCGTCCCGGAGGCAAAAGGCAGGCGACTCTGGGGACTGAGGCTCCCGGGACAAGAACACCGACCTCTGGCCCCATGGCCGCCACCTGCTCCCCGCACCGCGTTCTCCCGCCTACCTGGCCCCGGGCCTCCTGGATCTTCTCCTGCAGCCGCAGCCGCAGCACGTCCAGCGCGAAGAGGGAGTCAGGCTCCGGGGCGGGGCGGCCTGCAAGGAAGGGACCCGAGGGCTGAGGGAGACTCCCCGCCCGGGCCCAGCTCCGAGGCCCCAGCCTCACGCACCGCCTCCCCTGGTGGCCGCAGATGGACCTGCAAGGCGGTCCCACTCGGTCCCACCACCGCCTCAGCCTGGATGGGCCCGGCACCCTCAGGGTCAGGACCTTCCCTTCCCGTGTTAGGATAAGACGCTTCCTACAGGCCAAACCCTTCTTCCATTTTTTCAGCTTCTGAGCCTGTGCGCCCCTGAACAAGTCAGCTTTCACGACGCCCCTTCAGAGGCTTGAGGCAGCGACACTCCTGAAGCCCGGCTGTGCCGGGTCCTCACAGCCTTGCTGGGACCCAGATCCCCGTCACCATTTGGCCTGGAACCACCGTGCACATCCTGGGATCCCATTCCCCCAGAGCCTCTGTGATCTGTCCTCTGAAAGCCCGCTCTTTGGGGAGTCCGGTAGTTACCCCAGTGCCTGACGACACCTTTTCTTATGATAGAGGGGAGCGTGTCTGCGGGGGGCTCCTCACCTGCAGGGACCCCGGGGGGGCCAGAGGCCCTCTCCTGCTTGGCTGCCAGGGGCTTCCTGGTCTGGGAAGCTGCCCGGGGCTTCTCCCCCTGGGCCCGGGCCTTGGACTCCACGGCCTGCTCCCCCTGCTCCCGGGGTTTCTTCTGCGCTCGCTTCCTCTTCCTTTTTGGGGGTCCGGCAGCGTCCGAGCTTTGAGTCTTGCCCCCTGGAAAACAAAGCGAGACGGCGATGCTGTCCCCATCTCTGCGGCCCATCCAACAGGCAGGAGGGCTCGGCTCGCACAGGCTCTGATCCCAGAAGGATGCCCAAGGGAACCAGGACGCAGGGTCCCGGGATCCTATCCGCGGAGCTCAGAACACAGACTCCCTAGACTGGCCACACGAATCAAAACCCTGGTCAGCGTGCCACACGAGACCCGGCGGTGAGGCTGCGTGCTGGGTTCACACAGACTTCGCCTCAAGGGCATTCATCACACCGCCATTCAAGAGAGACCACCCCAGGCTGACACGCCAGCCCACCAGGGACACGAAACATCACTTGTATTTCCTTTCAGTGTGTTACATGCTCGCTTCACGCACACACGTGTCTAGCCCCCCCGCCCTCCAAAGCTGCTCGAGGTGCAGGCCGCGCGGGGAGGGGGCCCCCCTTCCGAAGGCCTCCGGTCCCGCGCGGGCTGCGCTTTACCCGGCTTGCGCTGGCGCGGCTCGGGGCCGGGCCGGGAGCAGATCTTCCTGGCCAGGCTCTGCAGATAGGCGTCCTTGGCGAGCAGGGAGGCCATGGCCGGAGGCTCGGGCGGGCTCACTCGGGGCGCTGCTCCGGGCCACGCGAGGGCAGCGTCCCAGGTCCGGGCCGGTCTCCCTGCGACTCACACCCGGTTCCCCGCCGGCGCGACCCGAACAGCCCAGGTCGCAGCCGTGACGCAGCTCGCCCGGAACACCATGTGCGCAGGCGCCGCCAGTCGAGCGCCGAGTCGCACCGCCCGGAGCTCGATTGGACATGCCTGGCTCCACCGGAAGAGGCCGCGGGGCGGGGCGCATTGCATTGTGGGCCGCGGGGCGGAGCAGGGCCCGTGGGCGTGGCCGCCTCGGCTTGGATAGGTCTGCGCGCCACGCAGGGGCCGGCGGGTCCCAGCACTCGGGGTACCGGACGGGGGAGGGAAGGGGGAAGAAGGCACACACCGCGCCCTCATTATTTGTCTCAGGGGCGCTGAGTCGATGTGTGCAGGGCTGTCGCGGGGAATGCGCCGGAGGAAGGGCTGGGGCTGGCCGCTCCCTCCCGCCTCCCCCCTCCCGCACTCCTGGTGGTTGAATCTCTCTCCCCTCCAGGTCCAGTGCAAGTTACTTCCCCAGTTAAAACGCTGCGGGAAGAGGTGGCCACCATCCTGCCGTTGGGGAACAGGCAAAGGGGGGCAACTCCCCAGCCACCCCCTCGGGTGCCTCTGCTTGGCCGCGGTCTCTGGGACCCGAGATGGGTCAGCTGTGTCCCCCCGCTCCTGAGGCGGGATGGTGGACAGTCCGCTACCTCCTCCACACCCCAGGACGAGGCCTCCCTCATGGAGCATGGCTGACAGGGCCCAGGGCTGCAGCGCCTGCCCCCCTTCCTCAGCTGACCTGGCCCAGGACACTGGGCCTCTGGCTCCATGTGGGATACCTGCCCTTTGCCTCCCAGCTCAGTGGCCCCGTCATCCCCTTCCAAGCCCGTGGCCACTCCTCCCTGACGTGCCGGTGACAACAGACTTGCGTGCAGTGAGGTCTAGAAGGTACCAGAGTGCAGGCGCCGGGGTGGCACAACATGCAACACACGGCAGTGTTTCATTCATTCAGCGCTTCATTCATTCATTCCTGTCAAGGATCTAGATCCCAGGCGGTCTGGGCGGCGGGAGTATGCAGCCAGGACCCCAGCCACTGGGAGGTCAAGGTGACCAGGCGGTCAGGTGTGAGCACAGAAGAACCAGCCAGAGCCACAGGTGTGCTGCTTTTATTCAGCAGTCTCCACAAAAGGCGAACCAGCAGAACCAGCCAGGCCCCGCCACGGGCTCCGGTGAGCCACAGCACCCCGCCACAGCTCTGCAGGGACTCGGGGCGAGGCGGCCTGGTGGCGGCCTGGGGCCTGGTGTGGACTTGGTTGGGGCTGTCCACGCAGAGCCCCCTCCCACTTTAAGCAGCAGGCTCTGTCCCAGCATCCTGTCTGCCGGCTGTTAGACTTCCTTCCACCCAGCAGCCCGGAAGGCAGTGAACAGAGGGGACTCCAGGAAGAGTGGGCCACTCTGGAAACGGGGGGGAACTGCTCCCATCCACCCTCCTGGGTGGGCTGTCCCTGGGCCCACGGGGTTCCCAAGGAGGCCACAGCAGCTCCCCAGCGGAAGCCGAGGCCGAGCGGGGCGCCAGGCTTTGTTGCTACGATCCCAGGGGCTGGTGGAGAGAGCGGAGGCTCAGGCGTGCTCTGTGGGGCCAGGCCCGCTAGCGTGGGAGTGGGCGGCGGCGGCCTGCAGGGGGCCAGCGCTGGGCTCTGGGGAGGCCCGCAGCGGGGCCGTGAGGCCATCGGCAGCGTCTGTGTCGAGGTCCAGCCTCCAGTAAGCTTCGCACAGAGGCAGATCGTTAGCTTCGCAGAGACTGGAGCTTTTCCACCACCAGAAGCCCGGGAGACAGGAGCAGGCAGAGGGGCGCCAGGGAGGGAAAGCGACACAGGAGCAGAGTTAAGAAAACAGACCGGACCCCACACCTGCCTCTCCCCTCTGGGTGGGCCCTCATTCAAGCAGGTCTGGCTGAGTGGGAGGTACATGGGAAACCCCTGTCCGGGACCAGCCCATGCAGGTCTGTGTGGCCCCAGCAGGTCCCTCTGCTGACCTGGCAGGTGTCGCCCTGTCCGAGAATCACATGGCTGTCCTAGCCCCTGCTGCCGCTCCACTTTGTGCGGGGCGTGGCCAGCGTCACCGGTAGCGGCAGCCAGCATCCAGAGCCCGTGGCTCCGGCTCCTACACTTGGCAAGAGTCCTGAGGCAGAGACCCCGTCTTATTTCTGGGTCTGCCTTGGCTGGGACGGTGACAGGACGGAGACAGGAACAGAGGCCCTGGTGTTCGTCCTGCCGCCGTCCCCCCTACCCCCATCACGCAGTGGAGGCGGGTGAGGGTGCAGGGGAGAGCACAGCTCACGGGGGCTGGGGGCTGATGGCCCTTCTCCTGACCCCCTGCCCTCCTGTGGCTGCTCCCTTGCTCCACCCTCCGCTTTCAGTCTCAGAAACCTCCCTGGTCACAGAGCAGTGGCCCGAGGACAGCAGAGGGAGAGGCAGACAAATAGAAAGTAACGAGTGGAAAGCGGCCGAGCAAGCGAGGAGGTGGGCGAGCGGGGCTGCAGAGGGTGGAGGGGGCTGAGCACTGAGGGGTCAGGTGGGCGCATGCCAGGGTTAAGCAGGGAGGGTTCACGCCCGCATGGGGCATCACGGATGAGGGAGGAATTCAGATGCTAGCGGGCCACCGGGCAGGCCCAGGACCCCTGTGGGTGAGCCAGACACTGACGGGACGTGTGGGAAGCCTGGCACTCAGGCCCCGCTGAGTGACCTGGGCAGGCCCGCTCCTCCTGGCCTCGCCCTCCAGAGGCGGGCGAATCGCTGCCCTGTAGCCGCTCAGGCCAGACCCTGGCCCTTAGGGATGACGGGTACCAAACCAGAGTGACCGGGCCATGTCCCCAGCAGGGTCTGAGCACCCGAGATGGGGACCCACTCGGGACCCTTCTCTGAAGGCTGGTGTGTTAGGAGGCATTTCCACCAGTCTGCTGAGCCGATGGGTCTCAGGGACCCGAGGCGGCCCAGACACTCTGGAAAAGTCTAGAAGCACTCCAGCCAGGCAGTGATATAACGTCCCTTCCCACAGAGATCACACTGGCCAGGCCCGTGCAGGTGACATTGAACCAAGGCCGGAAAACAGGCCCCAGACCACAGGGCACGCTGGCTCTGGGCCTCTGTGGCCCCTGCATGGCTCCCCCGGGGCAGCAAGGAGCACTGGGAACCTGCCCGGTAGGGACAGCTCTGGGAGGGCGCCAGGGGCCTGGCTGCAGGTCTGCGGACAGGCTAATGGGAACGGAGCACAAGGCTCCCAGGCTTGGTTCCCCCGCAGTTACACGGGGACTGGGATTTCCCAAAGGCATCAGGCCTCAGGGTCCCAAGGGGGCTGGATGATGGGCCGTGCCCACGCTGTATCCCTGCGCACTGCCTGGCTGGCGTGGAGTGGGCTCTGGGGACAAGGCTGAGCCCCTGCTCCTTCCCAGGACCCCGCACCCGCACAGCGTGGGCACCAGGTGATGCCCACATGGAACCTCAGTGGGCAGGCAGTGGCACCCTGGGCAGAGGTGGCGGCCATGAGGAACCAGCCCCGCCTCAGACAGGCAGGTCCAAAGAGAGGCAGGGGCCCTGGGCAGGCAGCTGGCGCTGGCCTCCCGAGCCTGGAAGTTCTGAGTTTCGCCCAGGGGCGCAGGGCCCGGTGGGCGGGAAGAGTCTGTTGGCCGCACGCTCTGACTGGTAGGTGTTGACACCAGCCCGGGCTCTGCTGGGGCCAGGCAGGGTCTGGAAACGCGCCGGGGCCGCGGGCCGGCGGCGCAGCCTAGCGGTACCTGGACGAGTAGTACTCCTCCTCCAGCTCGTAGAGGTCGATGGAGACCTCGTCCCGCAGCCCCGTGAGCTTGCGGTCGCACTCGTCCTGCAGCGCCCGGAGCTGCTGGCTGCGCTGGTCGATGGCCTCGTTCACCGACGGGAAGTCGTTCAGGATCAGGAACTGCTTGAGGTCGGACACCAGCTTCATCAGGGACTCGCCAGCTCGGACCTGCGGGACGGCCAGAGCAGGCCGGTGAGGGCGCGGCGCACCCTGTCTCCCCGGGCGGGATGCCGGCAAGCCACGGCCTCCGTTTCCATCGGCTCCCGGCAGCTCCCCTGCCAGCTGGCGGCTCCTGAGGGAGCTTTCCCTGTGTTCTCACCCGTGGGCACACACCTACGGAAGTGACTGATGTGCTTGTTCTGTGACGTCAGAAGGGACCACACGCAGGTCCCGTTCGCCTCTGCTCTCGTGACGAATCCAAGGAGCTTTCTTGTCAACAGGAAGAGCCGACCCTTCCCAGGCACCGCACAGCCCGCCCCTCACGCTGCACGGACAGCCCTCCTCCAGACCACACCGGGACCCCGGGCTGGAGCCCGGGCCGGCCCGACACCTGGTGACTTACGATGTTGGCAGCGCGTACATGCATCTCGTAGTTGTCCTGCTCGCCTTGAGTGGCCCGGGACACCTGCGTCTCGTCCTCGATCTAGGACAGACGGGGACGTCTCCGTTACAGGCCCAGCGGCTGCACAGCACGCTCCAAGGAGAGGACAGAGGGGACCCTGCAGGCTGACTGTGCGCCAGGCGCAGGGAGGACCTGTCACGCCTTTTGGGGGTGGAGCCTGGAGCCCTGTTCCGTGCAGACACTGTCACCAGCTGGGGCACTCAGTAAACGGGACAGAAGTAAAGAGAATGATTTTTTTAAAAATACCTTGTTATTGATTTCAGAGGGAGAGAGAAACATCCGCCAGTTGCCCCTCACACACACCTCACGGGGACCAAACCTCACCACCCAGGCATGTGCCCTGACCATGAATCAAACTGGGGTCCACAGGACGATGCTCCCACTGACCCGCCCTGGCCAGGGCAACAAGGACCTTTTAAAGTGACCGTTTACGGAGCAGTTCCTGGGTGCCAGCCTCTATGTTCAGCCCTTGACCCTGGCTGACCTGGCTCAGGGGATAGAGCATCAGCCCTCTGACCGAAGAGTCCTGGGTTCAATTCTAGCCAAGGGCATGTACCTCAATTGCAAGCTCAGTCCTGAGGCAACCAACCAATGTGTCTTTCTCATATTAATATTTGTCTCTCTCCCTCCCACTCTCTCTAAAAGTCAATGGAAAAAATACCCTCAGGTGAGGAAAAAATAAAATAAAATAATGTAAGTTTAAAAAATTCCTCACAGAAGCCTGGACAGCCACCCCAAGGTTGCAGGTGGGCAAACCTGAGGCAGGACAGGGAGTGAGCTGCTCAGTGTGTCTCAGACGGTAAACGAGGAGCCAGTCCAGGGTATTAACTGCCCCCACCCATCCATCCACCTGCACAGGGCTTCCCAGGAGCGTTGCCAGGGTGCGGGCTGGCGTCAGGGCTAGGGGCCAGACCTCCTGGCTCTGCCAGTTATTAGCAGAATGGTCTTGGGCAAGTTACTAAATTCTCTGAGCCTATTTCCTCCGCTGGAAATGGAGAGGACAATGGTACTTGCTTCAAAAGGTCTTGTGAGGATTAAATGGGACGGTAACCCCCCGGACCCAGTCTGACATGCAGAGCACTGAGCAATGCTGCTCTCACCCTCCTGAGGACTCGAGTCCCCAGGTCTGCAAAGGTCATGCAAAGATGCAGCCGACAGAGCCCAACGCTGACGGCTTACCCCCCCTCGAGGGGCCTCCCCAGCTCCCCTTCCCCCTGGCACTCATTGGAAGTAGCTGCCATGCCCGGGGTAACCACTGTGCACAGACCAACCCATCCAGTCCTCACCAGGTCCCAGGACTCTGACACCAAAGCACTGAGAAACCAAGTCCCTGCCCAACCTCCGCCAGGCCTGCCACTGGGGCTGAGCCTGGCAATCCGGGGACCTGTGTGTCTGCTGACCTGTCATCGTCCAGCCCCCTAGCGCCCCCCACATGGGGGCAAGGGCCCACTGCAGCTGTATCCCCCTGGTCAGGGTGCTCTGTGACCGAGGGACCAGAGCAGGGCGGTCCTGGGCTCGCTGTCCCCTCCAGCAGGTGCAGACGGCGGCCCCACCCACCTTGGCTGTCTTGATGATCTCGGTGAAGTTGTCCATGATGGACTTGATGTCGTCCTTGAGCCGCTTGTTGTAGGATTGCAGCAGCGTCTCCTTGCTCTGGGGCAGGGCTCTCTGCTGGGCCATGGCGGGGCCTCCGTTCGTGCAGGCAGCACCTGGGGCCGGAGTCTGATGTAAGCAGAGCCATCCCCAGTCGCCCACCCTCCTTGGCCCAGAGAACGTGCAGCTCTCCGGGGATTCCCTTCCTGCCAAACGAACCCGTGCAACCGCTCCACTCGCACACCGCGCTGCGGGGAGAGCTCATCCCAGGACCCTGGGCAAGTCCGCAACACCCCGTCCCGGTCCAGCCCAGGCTTCTCCCAGCCGGCCACACACGTCCTCCAGAGGCCTGCAGGAGCGCCGCCTCCCGCCGCCCGCCGCTGCCCGCCCCACCGCTGCCCGCCTCGTTCCCCAGCGGATCCGACTCAACCCCGTCCGAACCCCAGGTCTAGGCCGGGCCCCGCAGCGCCGACCCCTCCCCCCCCCCCCCCCCCCCGCTCCGGGGTCGCGTCGGGTCCACCCTCCCTCCCTGCGCCCGGCGCTCGGCCAAAGGACCGAAGCCGCGGTCCCGGCGCCGTTCTGGGATTCAGCACGCGGCGGCCCCGCCCCGCCACTCCACCGCCCGCACCTTGTCAGCAGACCTCGGGCCCGGCGGGCACCTGGTCAGGATGGACTCGAGGACGAGCAGGCGCCCCCCGCGGGGAAGGGCCGGCTCCCTGGCGCCTCTCAGCAACCCGAGTTCCGCCGCCATAGCCACGCCCCTTCCGATCTCACAGACCCACCCCCTCCTGCTCTAGGCACCGCCCCCTACCCAAGGGCGGGCGGAAGGAGTACTGTCGCTTTAAATTTGAAATCCCGCGCAGGCTCCAGTTCTCGCGATCTCTGGGGTCGCATACATATTTCCCACAATTCCCTCTTCTTTCTCTCTCCTCCTGTCGCCCAAGATGGTGAGTGTTTCTGTGATGCGGCATGCCGGCGCCGGGCCTGGGCTCTATCCGCTGCCATCCTCCTCGGGACTCGGTCGCGCGGGGGTCCCTCCACCGCCCGGAGCGAGGAGAGCCCCGCGGGGCCTGGCACAGAGGGCATTGGGCCGGGATAGACTCCCCGGCGTCCGGGCCGGGGGAGGAGGACCGGGCAAGCGCTGCCAATGCGGGGCTTGGGTCGGATGCGGCCTGGAGCCTGCCCCGGGGCGGGGCCTTAGGCGAGGGGTTCTGAGCCCGTCTTTGTTTTTGGAGGCGGACTCCCGAGGGCACCGCTGTCCCCGTGGTGGGGGTGCAGCGCTGTGGGACGGGGCCGTCCCGGCTGTCCGCATCCTAGAGCTCTGGTCTCGGCCGTGGAGCAGCGCCGGGCGGCTCGTGCAGATGATGTGAAAGAATATTTGCTATCTGAGCAATGGTGAGGACGTCCCAACCACCAAGATCGCTGATGCACGAGCCGGGGGCCCTGCCCCGCCCCGGAGGGGTCCGGCCAGCCCGAGCCCGGCGCCTCCGGAGGAGCTGCGGGGGCGGAGGCTTACCCCGCTTTCCTCTGCCCAGCCGAAGGGGAAGAAGGCCAAGGGGAAGAAGGTGGCCCCGGCCCCTGCTGTCGTGAAGAAGCAGGAGGCCAAGAAGGTGGTCAACCCCCTGTTTGAGAAGAGGCCCAAGAACTTTGGCATTGGTGAGTGAGAAGGGGGCGGGACGCAGGGCTGCCAGCCAGAAGCGGCCTTATTGGACGGGGGATGCCCTCACTGGGCGTGGAGGGATGGGGATTCTCCTTTTGCCACTTTTAGCTGTAAGCTGGGCCCGTTCCTAACCTGCCCCCGCGAGGGGTGGCCGTGCAGATGATGTGAGAACGTTTGCTCTGCGAGATGTGATGACACTGAACCACCAAGATCGCTGATGCACCTGCTCTCGCGGCCCCAGACGGGAAGCAGGTGAGCGAGCCTCGCTCAGCGCTGGCCTTTGCCTCACAGGACAGGACATCCAGCCCAAAAGGGACCTCACCCGCTTCGTCAAGTGGCCCCGCTACATTCGGCTGCAGCGGCAAAGGGCTATTCTCTACAAGCGGCTCAAAGTGCCACCTGCCATTAACCAGTTCACCCAGGCCCTGGACCGCCAAACAGGTAGGTGGTGTGGCTTCAAGCAGCGCTGAGGGAGTTCCTGCCCAAGGCCGTGGTTACTGTCTTGACTTGGGTAGTTCGCAGTGGGCGGGTTTGTTGAAATTCGGGGCTCCCTGTTTAGTTTCCAGACCCTGAAGTTGGCGGAACTGAAGGGTTGTGTGCACGGAAGTGCACCTCGCACCTAACCCTTGTTGCGTGAAGTGAGGACGGGTAGCCCTTAGCCCATGAGCCTGAGCGGGTGCTTTCTCCCCAGCCACTCAGCTGCTGAAGCTGGCCCACAAGTACAGGCCCGAGACCAAGCAAGAGAAGAAGCAGCGGCTGCTGGCCCGGGCCGAGAAGAAAGCTGCCGGCAAAGGGGATGTGCCCACCAAGAGGCCGCCTGTCCTGCGAGCAGGTGATGGGTGTCTCCTGCGTGGGGGTGGCGAGCAGGCGTCAGTAGTCGGGTGTGGGCTTCTCCCATCTGTAGTCACTGAAGAGGAACCCCGAGGCACAGCGGGGCCCTGCCTGTAGAGGTGCTTTTGTGAACCGCACCAGGCCCCGCTCACGCAGACTGGCTGTGTTCTAGGGGTGAACACGGTCACCACGCTGGTGGAGAACAAGAAGGCCCAGCTGGTGGTGATAGCGCACGACGTGGACCCCATCGAGGTACGTGGCCTTGTGGGCACTGGCTGCTGGACTGGACTGGGCCTCTGTCAGTCCCTACGGGGAAAGCTTGCTTCTGAGCCTGACACTAAGAGGCCAAAGTGGGCTGACAGGACTGACGGATTTAGCTTGTCTGCGGCTCTTGCAATGATGTAAATTTCTCACTGAATTCATCCTTGAAGTGCAAACACATGAGCTTTTTAACCCTGAGCAATTGCCGCCCAGCTAGCTTAAATCCCGCTTCTGGTCAGAACGCACGCTGAGCTAACGCTGTCTTCCAGCTGGTGGTCTTTCTGCCCGCCCTGTGCCGGAAGATGGGGGTCCCCTACTGCATCATCAAGGGGAAGGCCAGGCTGGGCCGCCTGGTCCACAGGAAGACCTGCACCACGGTCGCCTTCACACAGGTTAACTCGTAAGTACGCAGCTCCGCTCCCAACTCCCACCTCTGCTCCACCCCATTCACTTCATCTCTCTGGATTTTATCTTAAGAGCGCAAATGTTCTAGCTTAAAGGAATAAATACATTTAGCCGAACCTTTGCCGATGATGGTTACGAATTTCTTCACCTGAATAAGCCGTGTGGTCATGTTGTGTCTGAGGCAAGAGGCTTGCTGTGTTTGGAGCCAACAAGGCTCCATGTCTGCACTCTGGAAGGAGCCAGAGTCTGACCCTCGTTTCCTGTCTCCTCAGGGAAGACAAGGGAGCTCTGGCTAAGCTGGTGGAGGCCATCCGGACCAACTACAACGACAGATACGATGAGGTAAGTGAGAAGGGGATCAGGGCTTTGGCCGGAGAATAGCCTGGCTCCGCATGAGCCGGGCCGGCAACGGGACCTACCACAGGGCCAGACTAACTCCTGCTCCTGTCCTTGCAGATCCGCCGCCACTGGGGAGGCAACGTGCTGGGTCCAAAGTCGGTGGCTCGCATCGCCAAGCTGGAGAAGGCCAAGGCCAAGGAGCTGGCCACTAAGCTGGGCTAGTGTGCACTGTTGTTTTCTGTACATAAAAGTAATAAAAATTCTCAGCCAGCGTCTTGGACACTTGGGATGAAGGTGTTTTATTGTCGGAAAGAAGTATGGGATGGTGGCAAGTGCGTTTTCAAACCAGGGGCCTTGAACTAACTACTGAGCAAGTTGCTATGTGTGGGTCAGTTTAAAAAAAGCTGTCTGCGGCTGCTGCTCAGCCGTACACAAAGTCGAACACAGCAGAAGTGAGTTTTCTGATTGACAGGGCAACTAGCTCATTCAGGTAGATGATTTATTTATGCTGATAAGTCCAGCCTGTTGAAATATTTATTCAGTGACCCAGGACAGGCTACATCAGTCATCTCGTCACGTGCCCGGAGTCCACCGCAGGAACTTCTTAACCCACAGGTATGATGTGGCCGCACAGAGGCCGTACCTTGGGTTGGAAGGAAGTGTCAGGAGCGGTTCGGAAGGGGGCGGGCAGGGAGCACTGAGGTGGGGGCTCACCAGGTGATGATGTACTGCAGGTGCTCGTTCCGCAGGGTCACCCTGGTCTGCCCTCCGATGGGTCCTCCGGGAACTGTGCTCTCTGCAGAGACGGTGGGTGTCGGCACTGGTCTTTGTTAGCCAGCTCTCAGAGCTGTGGTTTTGAACTTCGCCAATTTCAAGTCACCTCAACAGGACCTTCCCCCTGTACCTGGCCAGGTGTCATCCCCCTCTCCCCCCGCCCAGCACACTGAGGCGCAAACAATAGGAACCCACTACAGCTCTTGGCCTGGCCGGCCACGTACTGAAGTCTGCGTCGATGAAAATGGGCTCTGTGCCTGTGAGCTTGGCCATGGCCTCCAGGTCCCGGTAATACCAGTGGTTCCTTTCTGGGTTGTTCTCGGGAACAAAAGGCTTCCTGGTTTCTGTCAGCCTTACCATCCCAACCAGGTCCACTTCTCCCTCAATCTAAAAAGAAAAGGTGTCCCTCAGGGCACAGCATGGAGGGGGCTCCCAGAGCCCTGACTCCTGGGGACAGTCCCGCCCCTTCACCCCTTACCTGGCCTTTCTTCCGAGTGTCGGGATTCAGTTTCTTCCTGGGCACAAACCCTCTGTTCACCAGGATGCTCAGCCTACATGGAAAGCCGGTTTCAGGGGGGGGAAGGAAGGAAGTGCTTGGAGAGGATCAGTTCGCCCCTGCGCCTTCAGGAAGGGTTTGAACCAGGACAGTGGAGACTGCCACTGGGGAGGCCTTCCTCTGCCCGTGTCCTTATGGGTAGAAGCCACCAACCCCTGAGAGGGACGCCAAGGTTGTCCCTCACCCCTATATCATCTGCCACGCCTACTGCAGCCAGTGACACCCACCAGGGCATGGGCTCAGGCCCTCCCCTCTGAAGGCCTGGGTGCAGCAGCCTGTCCCCCTCATCACCCACAGCCTGAGGCTGCAGCCCCACCTCCATGCTCCCCTTCTAACCCGGGGAGACACGGGGCAGCGCAGCCTGCTGGAGACCAACGGGCCCATTCCAGTCCCATCTGTCCATTGAAGTGGGGAGCTGCTCTCCTGCACTGCCCTTCTCCCTAGAATGCTCTCTTCCCTGATGGCACCTTGGGACCCCTTCCCTGAGCTGGCTCCCTCCAGAGTTCCTGTCACTGTCCCTTCGTGCTGCGCCATCTTTAATGAGGTGGCCACTAGACAGTTCTCACCTCCCTTTCCAGAGCTCACAGGAAGAGGCAGCTTGATGTCTGGGCTACAAAATCAAACTGGAATCCAACCTTCTAGTTCTTGGGTTCCCCAGGGTCTCCAGGGTGGGGGGCCGAGAAGGGAAGATGAGCTGCCCTGACCACGTGCCAGGCTCCCTGGGTCACTCACCCCAGGTCGGAGCAGTGGAAAGGGGTGATGACGTGGGCACCGCTCTGGGCCGAGGAGGAGAGCCGGCCGGCCTCCCGGGCCTCCCGCTCCGGGTCCACCATGGTCCGTGGCATCATGTACAGCTCCTTGGAGTGGTCAAAGTGCCCCCTGACCTTCACCGGCCTGTACTCCAGGTCTTTCAGCTCCATCGGGCTACACGGGAGAGGGGACAGTGCGGCTGAAGCCAGTTTGGGAGGAAGACAAACCCTCTCAGGGCTGTAAGCCACAAGGCCCGCTGCGGCCTCAGGCTGTGGGTGATGAGGGGGACAGCTGGGGTGCCCGCTACAGGGACAGCTGACCCCTTGGGTGCTGAGTGGGAACGGATCTGTGCTGCCAACTGGTCCACATTTTCATGAGAAGCCAAAGGGGAACTCCTTCGTGGACTTGATCAGTGTGGCTAAAACCCTGTTTGCGCCCCTAAATGGAGGCTTTGGTGAACATAGCCGTTCCTCTGGGGCAGTGGCACCACCAGGGCACTCCCAAACTACCCCAAATACGTGACAGTGCCTGCTCCCCCTCCAGCTAAGAATTCCTGCTTCAGGGGCCATCAACCCTGGGGATCCCTGCAGAGGCTGGAACCCAGGACCACAGGGTTTCCTATCCTATCAGGCAGTTTCCCCAAGGGCGACCCTGTCAGCCAGAAACCCAGCAGGACCGCCCAGCTGAGGCCAGGACCCCCGCAGGCCCAGCCCCGCACTCACTCTGCGGGCAGAGGGACAGGCTCAGCCATGATTCTAGACTCCAGCTCTGAGATCAGCTTCAGCTTCCACTGGCGACGCTGGACCTGCGGAAACAGCAGAAGCCCAAGCAGATGGCAGCGGGTCAAGGGCTCGGGCCACAACAGCCAGTCTCACCTGCCATGTCCCCAGGCCGAAGGCAGTCGCGGGCATGAGCAGCAGGAACCACTGGAGGAAGGAGTCGTCCTCGGCTTTCGCGGCGGGCGCCTCTGCCGCCGAGCTGCCGCGCCTGCTGGGCCTCCAGGCCAGCCCTAGGGAGTTCCACACGGGCCTGGGTGGCCAGCCCCGAGAGGGAGCGCGCGGCTACCTCCCGGGGGGAAGGGCCCGGACCCGCGGGCCGCGTTCCCCGGGTCCCGCCGGCGAGTCCTCACCTGCGCGCGAGGGGGCCACGAGGACGCTCCTGCGGGCCGCGCGGGCCGGGGCCTGCGGAGACGGGGGGCCGCTGAGCTCCCGGCCCGGGGCGGGCACCCCGCGCCCCCCGCCCCCGCCCCCACCCCCGCCCCCGCCCCGCTCACCAGCCCCGCGCCCGAGGCGCGCAGCAGCTGCCCCAGCCACAGCGCCGCCGCCATCGCCCCGCGAGCCCTTCCGGGGTCGGCCGCGTTTGCTTCCGGGTCACCGGCAGGCCCCGCCCCCAGGCGTCCAGGTCCGCCGGCGCCCCGCCATGAGCGAGCTGCCGCCCGAAGTGCGCGCCTTCCTGCGCGAGCACCCCAGCCTGCGCCTGCAGCCCGGCGGCCGCAAGGTGCGGCCCGGCCGCCGCCCCGGGGCCCGTGGCTGCCCTGCCTGCCCCGCTCCCCCTCACCGCCGCCCCCCGACTGCCCCGGGGCCCCCAGGGCCACCCGCCTCCCTCCTGCGCGCCCCTCACCGCCGCCCCCCGACTGCCCCGGGGCCCCCAGGGCCACCCGCCTCCCTCCTACCCGCCCCTCACCGCCGCCCCCCTCCTGCCCCGGGGCCCCCAGGGCCACCCGCCTCCCTCCTGCGCGCCCCTCACCGCCGCCCCCCTCCTGCCCCGGGGCCCCCAGGGCCACCCGCCTCCCTCCTGCGCGCCCCTCACCGCCGCCCCCCTCCTGCCCCGGGGCCCCCAGGGCCACCCGCCTCCCTCCTGCGCGCCCCTCACCGCCGCCCCCCGACTGCCCCGGGGCCCCCAGGGCCACCCGCCTCCCTCCTGCGCGCCCCTCACCGCCGCCCCCCGCAGGTGAAGTGCGCTCTGACGGGCCACGAGCTGCCCTGCCGCCTGCCCGAGCTGCAGGCCTACACCGGCGGCCGGAAGTACCGGCGGGCCCGCGCGCCCCCTGCCTTCGCCTACGCCGACTTCGAGCCGCACATCGTGCCCAGCACCAAGAACCCGTACGTGCGGGCGGCGGGCGGGCGCCAGGGGCCCGGGTGGGACAGGCGCAGCCCGCCCCTGGCCGCTGCTCGGGGAGGCCCCACGTGCCAGCCCTGTCGGGGGGCGCGCACTGCCTGCGAGCTGGCAGTCCCGGCCGAGTTGGCTCTTTGGTAAACGCCAGGCTTGCCTGCTGGAGGTCAGGCTCCCATTTGCACTTCAAAGGGGAGCTGGTTTAGGGGAGCTGTGGGTGACCGACATCTTACGGAGTAAGGAAGGGGGGATGGCCTGGCGGGCGTGCATTAGCTGGGCCCTCAGCGCGCGTGCTCACAGCAGAGCAGCCGGGAAGGCTGGCCAGGCCACGTGCCAGGCAGACGGGAGGCCAGGTCCGTCTGGCCCGGTGGACCCCGTCCGCCCAGCAGGTGGACCTGCTCAGGAGCTGTAAGAACCGGGGTGCCCAGACCCTTCCTGGACAACCCCCCCCTGCGGCCTCGGGGTTCCGAGGTGGCCAGGCTGGAGAGCAGGTGTGGCTCCTGGAAACCACGCCCTCTGCCCTCTAGGCACCAGCTGTTCTGCAAGCTCACCCTGCGGCACATCAACCGGTCCCCGGAGCACGTGCTGCGGCACACGCGGGGCCGCCGCTACCAGAAGGCCCTGTGTAAATGTAAGCGCGGGGAGGGGCGAAGCTGCCCGGGCACGGGGCTTGGGGGCACGCCCACCTTCCCTCCCCAGGATGGTCCGGGCTATTCGGTGGTCGTGCTCCATGAATGGCGTAGTGGAGAGGGGTGCAAAGCAGGGAGCGGACTCCCAGAACAGTGCTCCTCACTCAGTGCTCGGCAGGTCCAGTTGGTCTAAAGCAGCGTTAACTCCGGGCGCCTCATCCACGTTACCATGAAGGCGCTGCTGGGAGACCTGGGCAGTGACGGCCGTGCTGAGTGCTGGGGGTGGGGGCGTGAGCAGCCAGCAGGGCCTGCCTGACTCAGGAGGCCGGGACGGGGGCATGAGGAGCAGGAAGAGGACAGAGGCTGGGCCAGGTCCACGGCCGGGCGTGGGAGGCCCTGAAGGACCCGCCTCCCATGCACGAGAGGGTGAGAGGGAGCTGGGGCGGGAGCACAGAGGGCCTTGGAGGCCGTGGTCAGGAGCACGTGCTGCCGGATGCGAGAACGGGGTGAAGCAGGGGCTAGCATGAGCAGGGCATCTCCATCCCTGTTCCTCTGAGGAGCAGGGGGAGGGGGTGCCCCTTGCATCACCAGGTGTGGCAGGGAGGGTGGAACGTGTGGCCAGATTTTAACACGGGGGTGGGGAAAAGGGACAAGAAGTTCCTGGCGTGAGAAGTGGTAGGTGACAGGCGGCAGGCACCACGAAGTGAAGTTAGGGGCGGGGTCTGACTAGGCTTGGGGGGGGGGGATGGAAAAGGAAATGAGCACTTGGAATGGGAGGAGTGTCGGGGACCAGCACTCAGTGTGCGAGTCACTGACACAGAGTGGCTTTGGCGTCCTCGGAGCCAGCTGAGAAGGGACAGATGGGCCTGGGTACCAAAGAGCCTGGGAAGGTGAGACCCAGGGGTCTGGGGCAGAGAGGAAGCGGGGACTCTTATCAGATGCAATCGGTGAGAGTCACTACGAGGCCGAACCGAGGGCCGGGAGAGCATGGGGAGGCACTGTGGGGAAGAGGGGCCGAGGAGATGCCCTGTGGGGGTTCTGGTCGTGCTGAGCCGGAGCGGGTGGCTGAGATGGAGAGGGAGTGGGTCCTGGAGGTGGCTAGAAGTGGGCAGTGACCCCAGCAGACTCGTCCACCCCATGGATGGGGACAGGAGTTGGGGGGAGTGAGGCCAGGCCCCGGTCACCACCGGTCCCGGGAGCTGCCCTGCCCTGGGGAGGCCTCAGTGCGGAAGGACAGTAAGCTCCATCCTTCCATCCTGTCCTGCCCTGTGCTCTGGCCAGAGGTCCACAGAGGGCGCCATCCCATGAGCCACCGTGCTTCCTCCTGGTGACAGACCGGCCGTTTCCAGTCAGGTGCCCTGGGCCCCTGCAGCCTGGCGGCCCGGCCGGAGGCGGTGCTCACGCCCAGTAGATCCATGTCCTGTTGCCCAGTGGAGTGGGCCCAGGCCGAGGGCGGGAGGCCAGGAGAGCCGTGTGCTGAGCTGGCCCCCCTGCAGACCAAGAGTGTCAGAAGCAGGGCGTGGAGTACGTGCCCGCCTGCCTCCTGCACAAGAGGCGGCGGAGGGAGGACCAGGCGGACAGCGACAGGCCGCCCCGCCGGAGGCCAGCCTTCTGGGAGCCCGAGTCCAGCGACGGTGATGGCACTGCCCCGAGCGACAGCGACGACAGCATGGCAGACCTGTACCCACGTAGGCAGATGCGCTCCCTGCCCCTCCCCCTCGGCTCCCGCTCCTGTCTCCACGTGCTCTAGCCCCCTGCACAGGCCGTGGCCCTCACCGGTCCCTCTTCCTTCCAGCTGAGCTGTTCACCAGGAAGGACCGGGCAGGGGCCGAGCAGGGGGACAGCGCTGACGACGTTCTGACCGATGAGGACGAGAGGCCGAGGCAGCCGAGAGAAGAGGCCGCTGGGGACGGAGAGGGGACGGGCGGGGCCCTCAAGCGCAGGAAGGTGAGTGGCCCACAGGGCTGCTAGCTGGGCAGCAGCGTCCTTAGCGAGGGTTCCGTTTCCCTAGGAAACTAAAACCGCCCTCTGCGCAGAGAACACCCCGCGCTCCTGGCACGCGAGCGGGGCGCCAGGGCTGCGCTGATGGGCTGGGCTTTGGGTGCCCACAGGTGCCCCCGTCCAGTGCCGAGTGCAGGGCCAGAGCCCTGAGCCTGTGCGGAAGGGGCGGGGCTAGACGAGGTCAAGGTCCTTGCGTTTGGGGGTTCGCAGCGCTGCCCTGGATGAGCCAGCAGCTGAGGGAAATGGGTGGAGAGCATAGGGGTGGTTTCCAGCTGAGCCCTCCTCTGTGGAGGCACCCACTCCCCTGGGATCTCACTGGAGCTCTGTCCCCCACAGAAGCAGCCGGGCCCGTCAAAGAAGTTCAAAAGCTGTCACCGCAAGCCCAAGCACGTCCGCTCCTTCAAGCAGACGGGGTAATAAACGTTTGCCAGGCCCGCACAGCCTTCGCGAGTCCTTGGGGTTTCCACCCCGCATCCCCCAGCTGCCCTGTGTCCTCCCTGCGGGTGGGGGGTCCTGGGGTTTCTCCATCCACTCCTCTGGCTGCCCCAGGAGCAGGGGGGAGTCCCGTGTGGACAGACATGGCGGAGGGAGTGGGCCTCATGCGGCAGCTGGGAGCCTGGCTCGGCCCGCCCCCCTGGACGGCACCCGAGGGTCACACTGCGTACAACAAATGCCATTGTTTATTTCCATGTTTCCAAAATCAAAACGTTTCCAAACACAACTAAGATATAAAATACAGCATAAAATGAGATCGATACCTATTTCCCACATAAAGCAAAAAGCTGTCAAATTGTTTTGCCAAAACCAATTGGTAGGTTATTTTCCGCTCCTCCTACCAGGGCCCAGGTGCTAGCCAGCTCTGGGCGGGGAGGGGGCGGGATTGACCACCGCATCAGTGACTGGGGGTCGACACAGGTCTCAGCAGTCGGGAAGGAGCCCGACGAGATGCGGCTTGGCTGAGGGTGCCACGCGGGCTGTCACTCGGGTGGGGGCTGCCAGGATGTGTTAAGGGGGGAGGGGGTGTGGACCAAGAGACCACGCGGCCCAGTTGAGTCAGAGTGTGTAGTGAGCGTTCGAGTGGAAGAGACAGGCTCTCCGGCTGGCTTTGTCTGCCACCAGGACGAGCCTCCGCCATGGCTGGGGCTGGGTGGGGTGAAATGGCCGCCATCAGGGTTCCAGGCTGCAGAGCCAGATGCGGTGCTAAGAGCCCTGAGGGGCAAAGGCAGCCCCCTCCCTGCAAAGCCTCCGGCACGGAGGCCTCACCTGGCTCTGGTCTGGAAGGTGACCTGGGCCTGCCTCAAGGCTGGCCCTCAGGCCCGCACACCTTGCTGAGGACCAGAGAGCTGAGCCCGAGGCCAGGCTCTCTCGCTCTCGGTAGGCCTGTCCCCCAAGGGCCTGGGGGAGGACAATGGGGGGCACAGTGTCCCAATCCCCAGCCTTCGCTGGGACGGGCCTGGCCGAGGTCAGCAGGAAGCGCTCACCCCCAAGAAGAGAAACACAGTGTAAGGCAACGTTAGACTTTAAATACAGGAGTCAGATCCAATCGGTAAGGCATCACAAATCAGTAAGAAGTAATGTGGGCCGAGTGCAGCACAGCAGACAGGCTCTGAGCAAGCAGCAGCCTCGGGGGCCGGGGCCGGGGCCGCAGCCTGGGATCCCTCAGCCAGGGCGCACCCAGGCCAGCGAGGCTGCAGAAGGCTGAGTGAGGTAACTGGTCTGCGAGCTGGCTGTCTGCTCCCCCCGGGCAGGCCATGGGAGCAGCTGGCTGTCTGCTCCCCCCGGGCAGGCCACGGGAGCAGCTGGCTGTCGGCTCCCCCGAGCAGGCCACGGGAGCGAGTTGGCTGTCTGCTCCTCCCGGGCAGGCCACGGGAGCAGCTGGCTGTCTGCTCCCCCCGGGCAGGCCACGGGAGCAGCTGGCTGTCTGTTCCTCCCGGGCAAGCCACGGGAGCAGCTGGCTGTCGGCTCCCCCGGGCAGGCCACAGAAGCGGTGGGCCAACCTGCAGGCGTGTGGGTGGGCGCGAGGGTCCCGGGCTCTGGGCGGCTTTCCGCAGGGCTCTAAGCTCCACCCCCACCCGGGCCCAGAGGCCCCGGAGACCCACGTGAACTGCACCACTGGCCGGCATCCTGGTTAAGGACGCTTCCGTGGACGGCCCTCTCATACCGCCTCGCTTTGGGGCTGGCTCCTCTGAGCGCGTCGCTGTCCTCAGTGTGACACTGCAAGGCAGCGAGCGGCCAGGGCTCTGATGTGCTGGGCCATCCAAAATCACTTAGTTTCAGCTAAAAACGTAAACTTAAAAGAAAATAAGAGGGAGACTGCTTTGAATGATACACAGATGTATCTGCTCAGGGTACAGCTGGAAGGCCCCACCACCCACAAAGGAACCAACCAGGGCAGAGGCCGCACCCCACCCGGCTGCTCTCGCCGCGGCCCAGGCCTGGCCATGGGGAGGGAGGAGCCGGCGGCCGCTGGCTGGCCGGGCGGCGGGCAGAGCAGTCAGCCATCGCTCAGGGCTGCAGAGTTCTCTCTCACATCTGTGCGTCACCCAGGCAGCGGGGAGAGGGCGTGAATGCCAGCCGTTTGTGGATCGACCCCGAACTAGTCCTCGCCGGCCACGGGCCTAGCCAGGCGGGAAGGTCTGTTACCACTCTTTCTTCTTCTCGTCCATGGAGACACCCCCGGGGCCCAGAGCCACCACCAGCAGCAAGCCTCCGATCACCGACATGGTCTGGAAGAAGTCGTACTTGAGGAAGTCGTGCATGGGCTTGTACACGGGGATGGTCCAGAAGGCGTTGAAATACACGTTGATGGCAAACAGCCAGACGACCAGAGTCAAGGCGGCCAGCTTGGTCTTGAAGCCAATGGCCACCAGAATCATCAGCGCGGTGCCCACCAGGTTCTGGAGGATCTGCAGAGGGGGAGCGAGAGACTCAGTGTGAGCAAGAAGCACGGCCAGTGCCCGGGCGAAGGGACTGGGGCGCGTGGAGGCCGCTCTCGGCCAGGCTGTGAGAGTGTGGTGACAGGTGGGCTGAGACGGTGGGATGGTGACAGGTGGGCTGAGACGGTGGGATGGTGACAGGTGGGGCTGTGACGGTGGGATGGTGGCAGGTGGGGCTGTGACGGTGGGATGTGACAGGTGGGGCTGTGACGGTGGGATGTGACAGGTGGGGCTGTGAGAGTGTGGTGAGTGACAGGTGGGGCTGAGACGGTCGGATGGTGACAGGTGGGGCTGTGACAGTGGGATGGTGACAGGTGGGGCGGTGACAGTGGGATGTGACAGGTGGGGCGGTGACGGTGGGGTGAGAATGGGGCTGGACAGATGGAGCAGTGCCCAGCACAGGCCGAGGTCGCCCAAGCCACTCCAGTGGGAGCCTGGGCCTCACACCTGGGTACCTCGCCAGGCAGGGCGCACACTCGGTTACAAAGACCTGCTCTGTCAACTCCCGGGGGCCAAGGACAGAACCTTCTTCAGCTCTGCACAGCCAGCACACGGAGCCATGAGATAAAGGGGAGGGAGGAGAGGAAACGCGAGCCGGGAGGCCGGCACCAGGCTCTCCAGCTGCCCTCGGGGCTGGACCTCATTTGTTGGGGGCAGGTTCTGGGCACACAAGAACCTGACAGCTTGTTCTTGAATGGCCTCGAAAGCCTTGCCTTGGTGGTCCTGGGCTCTACTTGGTCCACACCAGGGCGGGGCGGGGTGGGGTGGGGGCGAGGCGGGCAGCACTCACGGAGAAGAAGCTGGCGTCGAAGTGCAGGAGGGTCATGAACATCAGCACCAGCAGGACGCGGCCGCCCAGCTGCATGTACTGCTTGGGGGAGCTCTCGCGCATGGTGGGGACGCCGGCGAACATGCTCTTCCCTTCCGAGCGGGACTCCGCCAGGAGCAGCAGCAAGCCCCCGCCCAGGGCCAGGTTCCTGCGGGAGACGCCACACAGCGCTCAGGCCCAGCCCAGGGCGCCAGACCAGCCCGAGACCCCAGCCCTGCCCCCTCTGCAGACCAAGCGGACGATACACACGTGTGAAGATACACACGTGTCTGTGCATTAGACAGCACAGGCGCCGGCACGCCTGGGACTGCACTGCTGAGCAGCTGGCTCAGTGAGCAGCGCTTCACTGGGACCCCTCCTCCCCCCAGTGGGCCAGGAGAGGCAGCTCCGCGCTCACGTGTCCTGAGGCCCTGGGTGGTGAAGGCTCTGCCAACATCCACCGCAGTCTAAGCAGCACAGCCTGGACCCCCAGAAGCTGGTGCAATGGACAGTGACAGCCCCCGGGTGAGGGGGGAAGGAGCAGGTGACTCTCCAACCAGACGCACGTACCTCATCAAAAACTTCAAGTCCCATAAAATGCTGTAGGCGATGGTCTGAGGGGACAGAGGGCAGAGAAAGGTGGTGTCAGCATTGTCAAGCACCTGCTTTTCTACCGAAGGGAGAGCATTAGGCAGGTTTTTAAATCTGAGACAAAACTGCCACAGAACGCCCAGGACGGCTCTGAGGGCAGCTGGGCTCAGGCCTGTTTAAGCAGAGCTGCCCCGGTGCGCCCCGGAGAACAGGGCGGCTCCCGCCTTGTCAGAGCAAACCCAAGCGGGCAGGACTCACAGGGCAAAGTGGGCACCCAGAGCCTGGCCCCACTCGGCACAGCTGCCAGCCGAGGGCCGCCGCTTCTGCGTCCGTCCGGAGCCCCTTCTCGGAAAGGAGTTCGAAGGCCTTCCCAGGGCCTTCGCTCCAACCTCAGAAGAAAGGCAAGGCGCCCCGCCCCGTCCCCCCATTTCCCTGCAGGGCGGTTCCAGGTGAGAATTCCTCCCACCTCTCGCCCCGGTTACCTGCAGCGCTATGATTCCGAAGAGCCCGAAGCAGGCGTACTGCACGAAGTTCCTACTCAACACCAGGATGCAGCCAGCTGGAAAGGAGAAGGCGAGCTCAGGAGCTCCGAGTGAGGGGACCCCGCCCCGGTGCCCCGGAGGCCAGCTGCCTCACGTGGCCTCAGGTGCAGCGCAGCCCAACTACCCGCCACGGGCAAAAATGAAGGTGTGGGAGGGGGAAGGGCGGCACCCCACGCAGTCAGCTGACCCCACCACAGGCCCTGCGGCACCCGCAGGACAGGCGGGAAGCGTGTCCAGGACCAAGGCTGCCGCCAGGAGCAGAAGCCAGGCCTGAGGCCGATGTGAGCTGCGCTAGGCCTCGTCCTCCCTTCTCCTTGCCCTCATTCATCCTCCAGACACCGGGGTTCCCCTGCCGGCTCCTCCCTGCCCAGCACACCCGCCTCTGCTCTGGGAACGCCGACACAGGCTGCCCTTTGTTCAGCAAGCCCCCCAGCCCCCGGGCCCACCCTGCTGTCGGCGAGGGAGCCACTTACTGAGCTGTCCGAGCAGGTTGAGGAGCACGAAGGTGGAGGCCACCAGGTAGCCACAGCCCCAGGTGCT